ATGGGCTTTCCTGCCTGTCTGTCAACATAAGTATTTGCATACCTCTGCGCACCCGGTTCGCACAGACAGGATACGTCATCAGCGAGTTCACGCACGCTCTGCAGACAGAGCGAGAATGGCAGATAAACATCAACAACCCGATCTTCCTTCCTGGTATTGTAGTACTTTTAAAGTTTTCTCACTGGTGAATGACACATGATGTAGCCCAGCGGTTAATCCAGTCCTCGCATCAGCTCGTTAGAAGTGAGCTACGTGCATGAACTGTGTTCCGATCGACATGATCCCTACACAGTGTTCATTGCTCCCTCCTCCCTGAGCAGGGGAAATCCGTTGAAGTTTACTTCACTTCGGAACATGGGCTGGAATTGGGAACCGCTGATGTAGCCTGTTGTAGTAATGTTGTCTCTGGTCTGTGAGCGTAAATGCGTTCAGGGGGCATGGCTTTGGACGGCGATTGCAGGGAGGGTGGGACGTTCGCTTTCAGTGCTATCAGGCTAAAGTTAGCATTTTCCAAGATCTCCTACTGCACCTTTAATAGTGCTTTTTGTACTTTTCAAATCTACGTTGTTTTAACTGCTTGGAAAGACTAGCACATTCTTCAATATTTTTCCTCGTGTTGCACAGAACACACAACATTTGAAAGTCATATTAGTAATCTGAAATGACACAACGGTGAACAAAAGATTATTAAATTTTTTCTTGAGGTGAACTACCCCTTTAAGAGAAAACGTCTCAGGCACATTATGAATACACAGAGCGAACAAGACAGAAAGTGATTCTGTCATAGAGGAGGAAGAATCAGCTTAACAATGAGGTTTGTGTCAGTAATTCAAATGAATTTTCTACTTTAAATAATAACACGCATAACTCATAAGCAATTCAGAAGATTTCAGAAGACTATGCTAAACCTCCTTACCTGCTACCACACTCTGTCAGACACACACAGACACTCATATTAGGGCAATAGGAAAAGGTGTCTGTGAGCGCCAAAACTTTAGATTGATGTATAAGTGAGGAAGAGAGGACAGAAAACAAGAAAAAGTGAGAGGTCCTGCACATATTAACCTCCCATGGCATACAGAGGCCATTCACATCTGTACTTCTCTTCACCTCTCTCCTCCTCCATTTCTTTGTCCCACCCTCTGCCCTTCCACCTTATTCTCTCAGGTCCAGTACTCCACACTTCCTCACCACAGCAAGACAAGTTTAACAACCTATTTCTCTTCTCCCCATCCACACTTTTTCACATTATCACTCCATCTCTTTCGGCATAGCAGAAGCAACCGATTCCCCACTGACTCACTTCAAAGTACCCACCCTTCTCCCTACTTCTGTTACACTCATGTGTGAACTTTGAAGCTGATAACCAATCATCCAATTAGAAGCAGATAAAAAAATAGTATTAAAACATTACATAAAACTTTAAGAACTAGCATAATATACTTATGCTATAATAAATGTATATAATACACTTATAATAATAACAATAACAATAATAATATAATAAAATAAATGCAGCCTTGGTGAGCATAAGAAACTCCTTTGAAAAACACAAAAAATCGTTCTGATCCCAAACTTTTGAACGGTAGTGTATATATATATATATATATATATATATATATATATATATATATATACACTACCGTTAAAAAGTGTGGGATCAGAAAGA